ATTTTCTATCTCCAAACGTTCACATTTGCCCACAATCCCATTTTACTCAATTCTGTATTTTAAAGATGTTGAATTGATTAATATCTGATTATTATGGACAGAACCCGTTTTGCTGAATTGCCCTTTGTGTGTGTGTATGTGTGTGTGTGTGTGTGTGTGTGTGTGTGTGTGTGTTTAGGCATGCAATAGTGAAGGAACTAGCAGGTCTAGGAGCAACTGTGCACACATGTTCAAGAAGCGAAGCAGAGTTGAATAAGTGCTTGAAGGAATGGGAGAGTCAGGGTTTTCGAGTTACTGGCTCCGTCTGTGATGCATCCTGTGAAGACCAGAGAAAGAAGTTGGTGGAGGAAGTGGCTTCTCTTTTCAATGGAAAGCTTAACGTACTTGTAAGTATTCTCCCAATTCCCCTTTTTTTTTTTTCCATGGCATCTTGTATAAATTGTGTAGTTTGGCTTGATTGTAATTGAGTCGTCCCCTGCTATCATTTCTCTGCTTCTGTTACATTGTTGAAGTTGCCTTTTGCTGTTGTGGTTGAAGGTTGAAACTGGAAAATTTTAGCTTTGTTTGTGCCTGTTCTTTACCACTGTCTTTATTAGTACCAGTTGCCTCAGTGTTATTATTATGTGTACCATTTCCCCTGCAAACATGTAGCTTAAAATACAAATTAGACATGATTAGAGGGGTACAGTTTTATAGAAATAGCATTTCTTGATTTTTCCCAATTTGGTGATGCCTTTAGCAATGTTGTTTGAACATGTTTCTGGTTCTTTATCTAAATTTTATCTAGGTGCCATTTCCAGGAAAGCAATACTCCCTTGGTCAAGTTGTTTTCTTGTTAGTTGTTACTTGTTATCTAGTAATCCCGTTTCATTGTATGCCAATTATGTGTCTAGGTCTGATATTTTCTATCAATTCAATTAAAAGGCTTGTAGCTGTATCCATTAGGAAAAATGAGAAGGAAAATGAAAATTATTCTTGTATTTTTCTTTCAAGCTGCTTCCCAGTAACTTTTCATTTAAAAGGCTCGAAGTTGTGACCCTTTTCCCATACTCTTGGTCCATGATATTTGGCACCGTATAGAGCTTTAATCTAATTTTAGAATCAACTTTCCTCTGTCAAATTTTATTAGCTTTGACTAACTTTACAACTTTTAATCTGAAGGGCATCTAAGCATTGTTATAATCTTATGCAAAGAATATTTATTTTGTAGAAGTGGAGTGAGTTTCTAAATGAAAAATCAAAGATTTAAAAGTTAATTAAAAGGATAAGAAGACTACCCAATAGCTTCAAGACAGCTAGTTAGGATAGAAATGCACAAGAGATGTGACTTTTTTAAGAAAAGTTATTCAGTGCAGTTATGGGTGGCTGATTCAGACATGGTCATGATAAGCTTTATTGAGATATAAAAAATGGTTGGAATTCATTCATTTGTGTCCCGTTATATCAATTGCCCTCTCTCTGAATTATCACATTGTTTCTTTCTTATTCGGACCCAACATAAAGAATCATTGCCAACCACCATTGCGGCGGAATGGCCACAACTTCTTTGAGAAGAGTGGTGGCATCTAGAAGTCCAAGGTCCAAGCCTTGGCAATCCCATTCCCCATCCCCCAATTGTACTAGTTCAAAGAAAAAAAAAAAAAATAGAGAATCATTGTTTTCTTTATTTCTTTTTCCTTTTGATTGAAAAATGTGTTAATTGGAAATGCTTGCCAAGTAGTTGTGCATTCTTAAAAGTTTTTGCTTGCTTCTCTTTTGAAAGCAGCACTCTTCTGGTTTTAGGTTAACAATGTAGGGACAAATATCAGAAAGCCAACTATGGAGTACACTACTCAAGAATTCTCAAAACTCATGACTACCAACTTTGAATCTGCACACCATCTGTGTCAACTTGCATATCCTCTTCTGAAAGAATCTGGAGTGGGAAACATTGTGTTCATCTCATCTGTTGCAGGCCTGACCCATATAGGTAGTGGATCCATTTATGCAGCAAGTAAAGGTGAGTCACCATTTTCACCTCCTTTAGACCATCAAAGAAGTTGGTGAATGAAAGCAATTTCAAAGGTTTTGTTTTACATTTGTTAAATGCAGCTGCAATGAATCAACTTACAAAAACTCTGGCTTGTGAGTGGGCAAAGGATAATATCAGGTCCAACTGTGTTGCACCTTGGTATACCAAAACCTCACTTGTAGAACCTGTAAGATTCTTACCTCCCATTATATTTGAGCTACTTCTGTTATTTATTTATTTTGGTAAGGGTATCATTTTGTTTCTTGTGATTGTTGTTTAATGCATTTTAAAGAATTATTGTTGTTTGA